AGCAAAATGCGAGGGAGATAGTGAAAGATACAGGAAATTGAATGCAGATTTCCAAAAAATAGCAAGGAGAGACAAGAAGGCCTTCTTAAACGAGCAATGCAAAGAAATAGAGGAAAACAATAGAATGGGGAAAACCAGAGATCTGTTCAAGAAAATTGGAGATATGAAAGGAACATTTTGTACAAAGATTTCCATAATAAAAGACAAAAGTGGAAAGGACCTAACAGAAGCAGAAGACATCAAGAAGAGGTGGCAAGAATACACAGAGGAACTATACCAGAAAGAAATTGATGTCTTGTATACCCCAGGTAGTGTGGTTGCTGACCTTGAGCCAGACATCCTGGAAAGTGAAGTCAAATGGGCCTTAGAAAGCATCGCTAATAACAAGGCCAGTGGAAGTGATGATATTCCAGCTGAATTATTTAAAATTTTAAAAGATGATGCTGTTAAGGTGCTACACTCAATATGCCAGCAAATTTGGAAAACTCAGCAGTGGCCAGAGGATTGGAGAAGATCAGTCTACATCCCAATCCCAAAGAAGGGAAGTGCCAAAGAATGCTCCAACTACCGCACAATTGCACTCATTTCACACGCTAGCAAGGTTATGCTTAAAATTCTACAAGGCAGGCTTAAGCAGTATGTGGACCGAGAACTCCCAGAAGTGCAAGCTGGATTTAGAAGAGGCAGAGGAACCAGAGACCAAATTGCAAACATGCGCTGGATTATGGAGAAAGCTAGAGAGTTCCAGAAAGACATCTACTTCTGCTTCATTGACTATGCAAAAGCCTTTGACTGTGTCGACCACAGCAAACTATGGCAAGTTCTTAAAGAAATGCGAGTGCCTGATCACCTCATCTGTCTCCTGAGAAATCTCTATGTGGGACAAGAAGCTACAGTTAGAACTGGATATGGAACAACTGATTGGTTCAAAATTGGGAAAGGAGTACAACAAGGCTGTATATTGTCCCCCTGCTTATTTAACTTATATGCAGAATTCATCATGCGAAAGGCTGGGCTGGATGAATCCCAAGCCGGAATTAAGATTGCCGGAAGAAATATCAACAACCTCAGATATGCAGATGACACAACCTTGATGGCAGAAAGTGAGGAGGAATTAAAGAACCTTTTAATGAGGGTGAAAGAGGAGAGCGCAAAATATGGTCTGAAGCTCAACATCAAAAAAACGAAGATCATGGCCACTGGTCCCATCACCTCCTGGCAAATAGAAGGGGAAGAAATGGAGGCAGTGAGAGATTTTATTTTCTTGGGCTCCATGATCACTGCAGATGGTGACAGCAGTCACGAAATTAAAAGACGCCTGCTCCTTGGGAGAAAGGCGATGGCAAATCTAGACAACATCTTAAAAAGTAGAGACATCATCTTACCAACAAAGGTCCGTATAGTTAAAGCCATGGTTTTCCCAGTAGTGATGTATGGAAGTGAGAGCTGGACCATAAAGAAGGCTGATCGCCGAAGAATTGATGCTTTTGAATTATGGTGCTGGAGGAGACTCTTGAGAGTCCCATGGACTGCAAGAAGATCAAACGCATCCATTCTTAAGGAAATCAGACCTGAGTGCTCACTGGAAGGACAGATCGTGAAGTTGAGGCTCCAATACTTTGGCCACCTCATGAGAAGAGAAGACTCCCTGGAAAAGACCCTGATGTTGGGAAAGATGGAGGGCACTAGGAGAAGGGGACGACAGAGGATGAGATGGTTGGATAGTGTTCTCGAAGCTACAAACATGAGCCTGACCAAACTGCGGGAGGCAGTGGAAGACAGGAGTGCCTGGCGTGCTCTGGTCCATGGGGTCACGAAGAGTCGGACACGACTAAACGACTAAACAACAACAACAAGTATTGTTCTTTAAGGGGAATGGTTTGGCAGTGATACAGGGAAAGGTCTAAGGGGATATCTTTTTATGTATCTCCCACTGAATATTATGAAAAGTGAAAGCAAGTGGGGTTTTTACTCCTTCCTTTTCTCTATAGTCTGTAGAAATAGAATTCTGTTTGCTGTAAGCACAGTTTGTGAGACAGAGCAAGAACTGTGTTAAAGAAGTAAAGTTTCCAAGAACCATCACTCCTGTTAAGACAACCTTGCCTCTTGCAAGAGCGGCTGTATGTACAAATGGATAGAAAAAACCAACAAATGGTAAAAGGTGGGGTCAAAGGGCCATAAAATAAGTATTCGGTATGAGAGCTGATGTATATATGTAAACTAGCACTGAAATAATAAGCACTGCCTGAAAGCAAGCTAGTTATTTGGATGTATCCTTCTGCACAGATGTGCAATAGAATATTTGTGCACATCTGTGTGTCTCTATTCAACAAAGCGCAAAACAACAACAGCAGAATATCCCAGTTCTTAGTCTTGTGATATTTTGAGGCCCTTCCTCTGTTCTATGGCAGCAACAAAGCTAAGAGGAGACTTTGTTCCCTGCTGCCATGGCAAGCTTGCCAACATGAACAAAAAGCAACTGGGGCCTCCTAAAGCATAAAGACAAGACAATAGTTTGGCACCAGCTTCCTGGCACAATGTGCTGCATAAAATTATACACTGAAATTAAGCATACATTCAGCTACAATGCCACATTTGTTGAAAGTAACATAATGTTTGGATGTAGATGCCAAAGTCCACCTCGAACAGAAAAGCTGACATGAAGTCATCCTCAGTTTCACAGTGGAACTGAATATACCACTTGTAATACATCAAAACACATCCACTGAATTGACAGGCCAGAGCAATCTGCTCCAATCCCTCCTTCTGTTCATTCTTTTTTAACTCTCTGTTTTCACAGGTTATAATTATCCACAGTTATATAGTTAGCTAAATTGGTGTATTTGGTATAAAGTTTGGTACTTGTAGAACACAAGTTCAACAGACCTCACACCTGTGGTTCTCATTCTGCTGTTTGAGATCCAGTGTAAATTGGATATAAAACTGTCAGGAATAGATTTACCTTCTTATCATTTGCAAGGTTACTTAAAGAACTATTAATGTGTCTTTCCTTGCAATAGGTAGCAAAATGAAGCCTATTAAAAAGAGTTTTCTGAAATAAGCCACAGCAGTTGAAGTGTTCTCCTGTTACACGACTTGATGCCAGTTTTCTTTGTAGAATTGTAAGCAGGCTGAACCTTGGTGCAAGATTTAAAAAATGTCCTGCCTTTTATTATTAATGTCTTACTCAGGTTTCTGCTTTGAAATAAAAATCACAGATGCCAAATGGGAAATTTGATTACTTGATACAATAGCCTAGGATTAGTGGTTCTTTCAAAAATAGACTAATCTCATGGGTTTACTTACCTGCCACAGCAATCTAATAAGTAGGCTGTGATTTTCCATTTGGAAAACATCTTTTCTACCAATATTTCACTTGGTAGGGGTGGGAGAGAGCTCTTTAGCATGATGCTTTTAAAACAATTAAATTATCAACAAACAAACCTGATGATACGAATAGCAACGTCAGGTGCTACCGGGGGGGGGGGGAGAAGGGGGTCTACTCGGAAGTAAATACTGCGTCCAGGCGCAATTAGCGCTGATTTAAGGTGCACCAAGACTGCCTAAAAACCTCACCAAAGATATGCAACAAAGCGCTTCGTTGCAGAGGGGAGAGTTTGTGCACCGTGGAGGCTGGAGGGCTTCTATTCTACATGCGGGGGTTGGGGGGGCGAGGAAAATGTGCTCCGTGGGGGGGCGGGGAAGGCAAGAAAAGGAGCTGAGCTCTATAACTATAGGCTCCCACGCTTGAGCACGCCCGACTCGGTGGGGCGGACCACCCTCTCTCCTGGAGGAGGAGGAGGAAGAGGAGGAGGAGATTCCCATCCACGGCGTGGCCTCCCGCGCTCCTGAACGGGAAATCTCTGCAGCCCAAGACTCTCCGCGAGGCAGCTCCTCCCTTCCTGCCTTGAGCCGCCGCCAGCCGCGCCCCCCTCCCCAGTTATCTGCTGCCTGCCAAGCCCCGCCCCTCTTCATTGTCCTCCCCTTCTGTTTATTCCCCTTCCTCCATCCCTCGCTTTTTTCCCTCTCTTTCCTTTTTTAAAAAAAATATTTTCTCTTCCCCTTCTTTTTTTCCACCCTTTCTTTTTTCTCTTTCTCCCCCCCCCTCCCCGCCCTCCTGGGTTAAAGGATTTGAGCAATGGGTCTGGAGGTGGAGCTCGTCGGAGGATTAGCCCGACTCGCCCACCTCCCTCCCACGGCACACTAGGCAATGTCCGGCGGCACACTAGTGTGCCGCGGAACACCGGTTGGGAAACACTGTTCTAGTCTACACTGTAGACTATCTTCTGCATATCTTTTCTACCAGGAAATATTTAAGTTGCCAGTTGTGACAGCTTGATAAGTTGTATACAAATGTACCTGTGCCTGGAGTTGTCTCTTTGAAAGAAACAAACCTCAAAGAAGCTGTGCTTATCAGTGAGGATTTCAGTTTTTTTAAAAAAAAAACAACAACACTTCTGTATAGCCTTTAAAAAGTATTCAGGTCTAAATGTTTTTGATGTAGAATGTTTGTTTCTGGTGCTGGAGTTTCAGGTTATGCTGGAGAAGCCCTGTATTAGCTATCTGCGCACAGTACAAAGTTGGCCTTCCCCATTTATGTGTAGGTATCTTTGGGATTGTTGTGTTGGTGACCTTGTGTGAGTTGATTTCATACCCATTCCCGACAGCCGTGCTTCAGATATCAGTAGCCAAATGCTCTGCTGGCTGGTTGGCATTTACTCAAAAAGAGTAAGGTGCCAGGGGGCCGCCACTATGCATTCATTCAGCGTCTGTTGAAAAAGCAAAGGTTGTTACATAGTCACCCTGAAACTTCAGGTGTCTAGACTGCTGGTGGTAGTATGCAGTCCAACTATGATACTGTGGCCATGTAAACACTTGAAAAATGTTTTAGTTGTATTATAATGTTATAAGTTGAAAAATAAACATGTAAGAAGTATTTTGTTTGCTGGTCTTTTGCTAAGATATGAGCCCTTCTTTTTCTTTTTCTTTTTCTTTAATAGAAGAAACGCAAGCAGAGCGCCCAGAGCGAAGATGTAATCAGTGTCTGCAGCTTTGACTCAAATGTGAGTAATTGTTTTCTGAAATGTAAAGTGCCCAGTGTGGTTTGCTAGAGTGGGAATAACATTGATCATTTGGGGTTTGGACCATTTTAAGTTTGTTCCTGTCATAAAAATACTTTCTGCTCTGCCTGTTGAAATATTGCTGACAAACTTAAAACTTTCTATTTTTGAAGCATGTGTAATTCAAGGAAACAAGTTCTATGTCCAGGAAGATAGTGCAAGTGGAATAGAACATTGTTGCATGAACTTCTGCTGATAAATTAATATTACAGCTTAAATTTCTGCGTGCAACCCCAAAACATTAAGCCATTCAGAAATATATTCCTGTGCTTGACTTGATTGCTGTGACTTTACTTGATTATGAGTTATACGGGTGTTGTAAAATGCACTTGGAAACTAATTCCATCCTAATACCTTTCTTGAATCCCTAATGAAGACTTGTATTAAAAGTGGCATTTTTAATAATATGGACTGATTTGGACATAATACATCCAGTGGTCATTTTCACATGTTCATGTTAAACTGTGAGCTGCATTGCCAGCTGAAAATACAATTGTTTGCACATGTATTTGTTGAATAGAAAGTGTCTTTTTATTTGATTTTGTTTCAATTGTTGTTAATTGATTGCTGGTGTGTGTGTTGGTTTTTATATGCCTCGTGATTTGAATTCAGTGAAATTGCTCTTAATGTCTTAAATTTATTTCACTATTACCCTATTTAAGGATTGTGTGTTGATGAAGGGCAGATTAACAATGTTCTCAAATGTATAAACAATAAACTTAAACCATGGTTAAGAATGATGTATATGAGCTGGAATAAACCTGCATGAGCCATGGATGTGCACACTCTGCCTTCCCTTCTTCTACCCAGACAGGATGAGGACCTCAGCAGTATTTACTTTCAGGTGTCTTTTAAATATCGCTGGGCATAGCATCCAAACTCAGAAGAGGCAGACTGGGATAGTGAAGGATTTGGAAACCAAGTCTTACAATGAATACTTGAAAAGTTGGGCATGTTTAGTCTGGAGAAGAGTAAAGGAAGACATGGTAGCAATCTTCAAATACCTGAAGGGCTGTCGGACAGAAGATGGAGCAAACTTGTTCCTTATTTCTCGAGAGGGCAGGACCTGAACCTGTGGGTGGAAATTACAGTGAAGCAGATTTCAGCTGAATATTAGGATAAATATTCTGAATGTAAAATCTGTTCAGCAGTGGAACATGATGGCTTTGGGTGAGGGGTAGCCTCTCTTTCATTGGAAACATTTACTTGACAAATCACCTATCAGGAATGCATTTTGCCGTGAGCAGCAGGTGGACTAGATCACCACCAAGATGCCGTCTAACTCTTATCATTACACTTAATGCAATAAGGGTGCTTCCAAAGCAGTATTACTGCTCTAAAAAAAAATGTGCCTGCCTTCCTCTGATGCCTACCTGCTTTGGTTGAAAATTGAACATGTTCTATGTACTTTCCAGCAGCAAGATGCAGGCTTTCTGTTCCGGCAGAATCTGTAAACCTTTGTGGCCTTTTAATCTTCTTCCTTCTGTGTGTGCCTGTTTTAATTGAAGCAACTCTAGGTTAATGGAGACCCTAAGCAAAGTGTCCTTTGGATGGGTCTACTCCTTTTGTCAGTGGTCCTTGGTCAGCTCACCTGACTGCAGTGGCAGCGCTCAGAGCAATGCTGGGTGATTATGCCTTTCAGATTTCCCAAGTGATGGTAGGTCTGGTGGCATTTTGAGAAATTACAGCTACTGCTCAGAGTGCCAAGCCAGAACAAAATCAAATTTAAGAAAAGCCCAGATCAGACCATGCTCGTTAGGGCTGATAGTGCTGTAGTCCAGAACATATGGAGGGCACCAAACTGGGGAAGGCTGCTATAAAGGATCATAATGTTTTATCTTTAGTCTTTGTATATGTATGTACGTAATTTATTCTGTAATTAAAAAACAAACTTCCGTATTAGTGCAACCATCATGTGTGATCCATTCAGAGACCTTAGTATGGTTCCTTTGAAACAGCCTTTTGAATACTTAACTTAAGATTTAATTTAACTGTTTTTAATCTTATCATTAAACACATTCATTAGTAAGTGTATACCCATCTTTTATATAATACGTATACAAATTTATAAGCCACACTTTGCAGCATGATAAATGTGTGTTCTCTTTCTGTAATGCACACTTCCCAGATGTCACTGAATACATGACCGGGAGATGAGGACACTTCAGTTTAATCCTTTCATAAACATAATGCCATTTTAATAAGAGAAACTCAGCTGCCCTGTTTCCAGTAACACTGCTGTGTCCGCCATAGTGAGATTAATGATGGGCTAATTAAAGAACTGAGAAATTGATCATTAATGCTTGTCGCATTTTCTCCTCCATACCTACCTCTTCATGTTTGGCACATAAGCTAGAAAAACTTGTATGTGCGCACGTGTGTGGAAAGGGTTGTCAGTTGTCACTTGCTTAAACAATTTTAGCTTTTTGTTGTTGGCATGTGTTTGATGCTGATAACAGCACTTCCCTGTCAGCTCTCTACAGAGCTGTACCACTCAGAACATAATTCCTAGATGGCAAGTGGATGTGTAGTTCATAGCAACTGTTCCCAATAATTAAACAGTTAACTGAAATGTGTTTGAATTGTTTTGTATTATAATGGCTACATAGACCTTAAAACATGTTAGGCCAGTGGTAATATTACTGGTTGTTTTTGTGCAGCTAAATTGGGAAGGAACTAGCACATGTGACGGAAGTGGGGGAGGACATGTATGAGCATAAAGCCTGCCTACATAGCACTGGTGGGACCAGAAGACAACTATTATAACTATGCAAAATGTGATGTTTTGGTTCAGACCACTATCCTGTTAAGCGAAAATTATTTGGTTCCATGTTCTTCAATGGAACTAAATTTTCTTAATTTTGCAATCCTAACGTCACTTATTAAGAAGTAAGTCCCATTGACCTCAGTTGGGCTTACTTCTGAGTAGACATGTTTAGGATTGCAGCCTACTTAGGTTATAGATCTGAGGCATAGGCTGGTACAACTATCTAGCTAAATAAATAAACTAAACATTCTGAGACATTTTGTTGACGGGGTATGAAAATCCATATATAACAATTAATGAACCATTTTGCATTTTATTCAAGACTAAATAAAGGGTAGACAGATACAGATTAGTTATTAGCATCTACCTTCCTTACTTTAGTTTTTATATATCATTGTCTAACAGTTAAGCTAGAATTGCTTACATAACATTTGTCTGAATAGTTTAGCTTTCATTTCATTCTTCATAAAGTTGTGTGTGTGGTTTAACATCTAGTAGGCTAGAGCCTCAAACATTAAGATCCTTGGTTTACATTGCAGCCATTCTATCAAAGGGAAGATAAACTGGAATATTGAATACATTAGTCTGGTAAAGAAAGATTTTGCTTTTAAAATATGGCATTATTAACATCTTTATAGCTTTATTCATACAGTGAATAGCACCATATTGCACCCATTTCCAGTTAGTAAATATATCTGTCCACACTTCATGTCCATGTATAAAAATAGTATTGTACCATACAATACATCTTAGTTGTGCCAAACTGTCTACCTTTTTCATAATAGTCTGTCATGAAGGGATAGTTTCCTGTCCATCTTTCACAGGATGTGCTGAAGCTTTTCTTATGTTTCTGCTGGTTCAGGACAATAGAGATACTTGGCATAAAGACATAAATGGTTTTGTGCAGAATGTCTTTTTTTTTTAATACAATTGATCGGAATTGCAGTCTTTAGCTCATTTGGCAAGTTTTATTTGAGACCTTGAGATATGCACTTGAATTGATGGCTTCTTACTTGAATGTATCAGAAATCACCTTGGAAGATATGATGCTGTCTCGTTAAAACAAGTATAGAACTCAGAATAAAACAAGAATAAAACTCAGGTGCTATAAAACAGGCAAAGTGTACCTCCTCAGCAGTAGCCTGCTTTTATTTTCAGAAAGGTAACCATTTTATACCAGATGCTATTCAGATTTTTCAAGCTAAAGTGTCGTCACAGCTACTTTTTGGGATCCCAATATGGATATTAGCATATAATAGTGATTTAGATAAGATGCACTCAAGTTTCTTGAGACTGTATCATGGGGCTCCCAAGTTCAATCAAGTATGAGACAATGTGTGCAGAACTAGGTATGCACACAAGACCTTTTGAACATTTCCCTCTCAGCTTTTGTCAAGGGCAGATATTTAAACATCCCCAGAAATGATAGACATTGCAGATATTATTTGAATGTGGTGGACACTGTAGAACATATTCTTGTTAGGTATCATTCATCACGAAACAGGAAAAGGGTGCAGATAACTTTAAGGACATTTTCTATGAGTTCTGGGTGTGGTTTTCCAGGCTAATTAAGCACAGCTGGTTATGTGTATAAAGAGAAGAAGTTCCAGTTTGCAACTGCCTGCAGAAAGAGAACACCCACATGCTTTGTGTTTGTATAGTTGTAATAAAACTTGTTTGAGTATTTTACATCAGTCTCGTGGTTCTGTCATCTGCCGCCAGGGAAAATTCGCCTCCAATAATTCTTTTCTACTGTCCTTTCTACAACCAGTTACACAAACACGTGCTATCCCCTCTTTTGGGGAGTCCAACATCACAGCACAATGAAAGTATCAGATTCTATCTGTCTGACATTAACCTGGAAGTAACTGCAAGGGTGGCTGAGGAAACCTAGTCAGATGGGCAGAGTATAAATAAAATAATAATAATAATAATAATAATTTATTTATTTATTTATTTATTTATTTATTTATTTATTTATTTATTTATTATAACCACTCCTATACCAACATAAGAAAAACCTGAAGTATCAGAACAATTATCCATTTAGTCCCCTTTATTTTCATAGTGGCCCATCAGATGCCAGATATGAAGACCATATAGCTCTCTTCCTTTGTTTCTCTGCAGCAGCCGATATTATTGGTGTTTTCCCTCTGCACTTACTGAATTTTTGATT